TTTCGGCGACGCTGAGGGTTGTTAGGCTTCTGGCGGTGACTACGATGGCGTGTAGCGAACGATGGGGGGCGGAAAGTCATGCTATGCCGGTAGTGATGGGTCAGGTAACGATCGCTCATCCCAGTCCGAACGGACCAGATCTGCGAATTGATAGCTAGTAGCTCTCCAGGGCCGGTAAGTAATAAGGCAGCATAGGCTGCCTCCCTTTCCCTTTCACCCTTCCCCCCCTCCCTATAAAAGAACTACTTATCTTCTTCCTGCCTGTTAACGTAGCAGAGAACTGCAAGCTTTTAGCCAACTTCTGTAGCCGTAAGATAAGGGAAAAAAAATACTACTGCTAGGCAAACCTAGACGGAGTATCGCAACCTAATAGGCGTCTGCGAAAACGATCCTAACATATGCTGTTCACACAAAGCGTAGACTTCCGCTTCCAACCCATCGAGCTTGCCGTCGCAGAGGAGGCGGGTCGCAGGCACAGCGACGTTGCCCGACGTCCACGCCCCGGTGGCCTTGTACTGCACCAAGGGCAACAAGGATCGCATTGGCAGTGTCTATCTCCGCGACAGAATGAGCTGCCCATGCGATACTGACAGCGACTACGATGGCGCGAGGAGGAGACACCGGCTCGGAGACCGCCAGGTGAGGAGCTCGGAAGCAGCGGTGCGAGGCTTGCTGCCGACGCCGACCACACGGCGCTCTGCAAGTCGGATGGCTACGAGGATTCGCTCGGGAACTGTCAGAGTCCGAGGACGCTGGAGCGCGGCGTGTGCGCAGTACTGTGGCACGGAGATCCACGCAGCTCGGCGCCCAACTCAGCAGCACCATTAAACCCCCTGGCTCACTGGCAGTGACCACGAGAGTCCTTGAAAACCTCGGTAGTACGGAGAGGCCTCCCAGCCGAGCCTCGAATGAAGACCATCATGAATGGAGTACATATAGCCGGAGACTCGGGTGAAGGAACAAGATGGATCTTCGTAAGACATGCTACCAAAGAGCAATGATAAACGCAGCAGAACCCAGAAACGCAAAACCCAACTAAAACGCAGCAATCTCGGGGGTATAATGAAGTCTCAAAGCTCACCCACCCACCAGCCATTCATCCAGCCATCCAGCCATCCCGCGCTATGCTATTATGCCCTCCCGTCCGTTCCATCCGCTAGTGCTCAAAAACAGAAGCCTCGATCTCGCGTCAAATCCAGATACGCAGCCAGAAAACATCAAAAATCAGATCGTCAGCCATGGGCAAAGCGCACGCAAGATCGTCCGCCGTGAAGAAAGTCCCCGCAACGCGCGTACGCAAGCAGTAAATAAGTGTCGCTGAACGCCGAAATGCCCAACCTCATGCGTGCTGGGGAGAGCGCTGCCGCAGAGTGAAGTGTATAAACAAGAACGCACGATTTAGCTCGCTCGTACGCAGGTCCCCAGTGCCTCAAGCGAAACCCTCTCACTCCTCACTGATAGCGCTGCCAATCCTGCGCCGTCGTATTCGGAGAAGTCGACCACCCGGGCAATACCGGCTGCTGGCCATCGCCCGACATGGGCCCCATGGCGAAATGCTGCTGCGGGCTCGGCGACGGCTGCTGGTACAGATTCCGATTCATGCCCGCGTACGCCGCGGCGCCCATTTGGGTGAGTTGGCCGTAGCCCATATTGGGCTGGGGAGGCATTTGGGGCGGGGGCATGGGGGAGTGGTGTTGTTGCTGTTGTTGTTGCTGGTGGACGTACTGGAGGGGGTGGCCTTGGCCGACGGGGGATTGCTGGGGCTGCGGGGGCTGCCAGACTTGGCCAGTGCCGTAGCCGTAGGAGGGGGTTTGGCGGTGGCCGGCGATGGCGCCCATGGACATTGAGGGCGAGCCTTGGTGCATTTGGCTGGGAGGTACTTGGCGGTGCATTTGCTGGACGGGCGAGGCCATTGGGTTTTGTTGGTGAGTGTAGCCGCCGTATGCTTGAGAGATCATCTGAGAGCCAGGATGCGAAGCCGAGTCTGGTGGCGCACGGGACTGGCTCATGCCGGCGACGGCTTGAGGCGATTGTAGTTGTTGTGGATGCACAGTACCAGACGCTCCAGGTGCCAGTTCCGGCTGCGTCACGGGCTGCTCGTGTGGCCGTTCCCAGTAGTCATCGAGATACTTGGCCCGATGGGCGCGAGTCTGCGCAAGTTGCTTGTTGTACTCGGCAGCTTGGGAGGCTTGGCTCAGTATGTCGTTCGAGCTGCTCGACTGCGTGCGATCATGGTACGGTGGACCAGTGATCTCATGCCTGGGTCGAATCACGTTCCCATAGCCGCTACCTGGCCGTACGTCATCCGCAGCGAGGTGAATCATGGGCAGTGGAGCTGCCGGAGCCAAGGTGACCGGGTGCATGCCTGGCCCATGTCCATCAAAACCTGGCCCATTGCTGTAGATGATCTCACCCTGCGGCATGGGCATCAACGCGTTGCTACTTGCCTCGGCCGCTGCAGCCTCTCTCGCCTTCGCAGCACCAGGTCGTTTCTCGCCCGCAAGATCATCTTCCGTGAAGCCCTGTTTCCTCGCCTTCGCCTCCCAGTAGTCGTCGCGAACGCGCCGCCCTGCATCGATCAGGCGGCTGCCGAATTGGCGGAACATCGATCGTGCCGTGACGATTGCTATCTGTCGAGACCGGTACGAATACGCTAGGATCTCCTGGTGAATGAGATTGTCCTTTTCCTGTTGGTTTGCAATGATCTTGTAAAGCGAGCGATTCTTGTTGAAGAGCAGGTAAGAGTCGCGGTAGCCTAGAACACGAGCGCATTCGGTGGCAAGCATGAATAGCTTCTCACCTCGATTTGGCACTTGGAAAGTCCGACACTTGTACTTGCGTCCTTCCAGAGGGTAGCCGTCCGGAGATACTTTGGTCTCTCCTCCGGGGTCCGTTTCGCGTGGGATGTACTCATCATTTTCGGCGTTAAGTTGATCAGTAGTATGGTCGCGCACAGTTGGCAGGGCTTTGACGACCGCAGGCTTGCTTGCAGATCCAGGGATGGACCGCTGTGGTGACATCTGTGGCAGCGACTGCGTTTCAATGTGCGGCGTCCGGACCGGCTGCGGCGGTAATGCGAGAGGCATGGTTTGGGACGACGTGTCAAGCCCGTCGACGTTCAGAGGCTTGCTGCGCTTACTCGCTTTCACATCACCTGTAGCTTCATGTCAGGGCTGTCCGTGCGACTGTCTATGTCACTCCACGGAGCGTACACGTCATGCGCTCTCCCGTGGGGTACGTACCAGCTCTTGTCTCCAGAGTGCGCGTACCCTCGTCGAGCTCTGGTGACCTAGCACGCTTCACGCCGCGTGGACTTGGCTGCGAGAGTAGGTTCGGGGCGATGGTGTCGGAGTCTACATTCGACGTGATGGGTCAGCAGCCTTTCGGTAACTTGCGGATGCGACGATAAGCCGGCCGACAGAAACTTTGGAGAGGTACATACGAGGCGCGTTCAGTGCAGCCGGATCTATGGTGCCAGAGTCGTCCATCTCACCGTAGAAGGAAGAGGGCGGCGGTGGGAAGCTATGCGACACGGCCAGCATCACATCCCTCGCCCTACGTGCGCGCGCACTACTTTCGGGTGCCCTGCGTCCCACACAATTCCCAGCAACTCGGTATCGCGAATCTGCGCGCCTGTGGCGTGTGGAGATGCTCGGTCTGATGGGTCGCGCGCGTGTGTCTCCGTGCCAGCATGGGTGGTTCGGTGACGACGCCTGGGCGTATGGATGGCGCGCGGAGCGGGCTAGCGAATGCTGCGATCGTGCGGCACGGTGATCTTCGTGAAGATGTCGGGGGAGCCCGTCGACTGGGATGCGACGACGGGGTTGATGTGGTGGAGACGATGGGAGTGTGAGGATGCAAGGTGGATCTTCGAAGTGAGGGTTGAGGCAGATGGAAGATGGCACAAGAGGTCCCAAGCCCGACGATGACGCGCTGCCGCCTCCCCGCCAAAAGCCGCTTCTTCCTGCTCTACATGTATCCACGACAATCAGCAAACACCTCCTCACCACCTCAACATGGCCTTTTTGATGGAGGACGAAAAACTGCCACATGAATCCGAGAACTTTGCATCGCCTAGGTAGCTAGCTTCACGAGCGGTGTAGACTCACGGTTACACTTGCTCTCAGAGAGTCGGAGAGCGCAGCAAAGAAGCAAGGGATCATTCATGAGCATGCCGAAATTGGCCCAACAGTCTCGTCGGCTCGATCACGTCAAGCTGGAGTGCGAGAAGGGAAGACTCGTGCAGCCTTACAACGCCCAAATCGTCGACCAAGGTCCTCCGATGGGTGATCTCATCAACGGCAAGAAGCGATGCCAGGAGTGCCTAATGAACGCCGTAAGGGCAGTGTCTGAAGTCCTCGCTGGACTGGATTGCACACACTGGACTCGTGTAGTGATCCATGAAGCCAGCGAGACTTCCACACTCCCAAACCGTATGATTGCAAGCTTGACCCCTTCCAACCACAAGCAGTATGCCGCTCGATGAGCAGGCCAACCAGTTCGACGACTGCCGCGGCTCGGATCTACGCCGAGGCGCGCATGACCTGATTACGTGCATATGGCCATCGAGGCTGATGGCGAGATCGTGCAAACGGGTACGCCATCTGAGCACCTTGAGACCGACGGCTGGTGGACACTCGGCAGTATAACTTACTGCCCCCTGCCGCTACGCTCCCATGATTACAGACGTATGGGCCACACAGCTACATGTAGGTTGTAGAAGGGACATACATGTACATGTACACATGCAACCGTGCAGCTGGATGTCCAGACCTTTGAGGTGGAGACGGGAGTGATGTCGCGGTCCCCCGTCGCCGGCCCGCCCCATCTCCGCTTCCGCCTCTTGGGCCCCGATGCTGATCCCGCCTCTTGGCCAGAGACGGTGCAACGCAACGAGTGAGTACACGAGGTCAAACAGTCGATGAGCAGAATCGGGGCACCACAAGTGAAATCAGTCAAAAAAGCCTTGCTCTGAATGCGATGCCTGCGAAGCAAAAGTATACCCTACGCAGGACTCGAACATGCAGCCTCCAGATTAGAAGTCTGGCGCGCTACCATTGCGCCAGCAGGGCAGACCTGGAACGAAATGCTCGAGCAAAGAATTCGACCGGGATCGCCCGTTGTCCGACGCAGAATGTTAATCAACTTAGAAGTTGAAAGCCGATGTTCGAGCGGGTACGCGCATGCACACCCAGCGTAGCTCGTAGTTCTCCTAATTGATATCGTAAGACCGCACGACTCTAGCACAGCAAGCCATACAGCTCCGATGCACCGAGGCCCTCTACCCTTTCACCGCTTTCCATCTTGCCCACCCCCAAAGAACGCCACGCTATGCACCCACCAACAACGCCGAAAACCCGTCTCGCACGCGCATCAATCGCTCTCGTCGCAATACTCAATATCCTCCTCCGGCGTCTCAGGCTCCCGGGGCTGCGCATCCATCAACGCTTCGAAGTCAACGTCCGCCGCATTCTGATGATCTGCGGCTTCATCGATCACGTCATCGTCCTCGTCGACATCCTCATCCTCACTCGCGTCTTCTACTTCCTCGTCTTGGTCGGCGTTCTGGCCGTCTTCCAGCTCGTCGTCGTTCATGGCGTCCTGGTCCGGCGAGACCGTGTCGCCAGTGTCGCCTTTCTGCTTCTTGGCGGGTCGCTCGTCGTCGTTTGGGGCGTGGCCGTTGGTCGCCCCGTTCATCTCTCCGTTGGCGGGTGCGGTGGTGGCGTTGCCGGCAGCATCTTCGCCCTCGCCACCTGTGGTGAGTACTACCACTTTGTCTTCCTTGACTTTGCGACGGTAGGTGTTGCGCTTGTCGCACTGTATGTCGTTGTATTCTGGGACCGTCGTTAGCTCCGTGCCTGTAAGGATCTTGGGGAGGGCACGCACTCTTCAGCTCTGCGTCTAATCTCGGGAGGAAGCCCTCGAACTCCGCGTCTTTGAGAGCGGTGACTACGTCTGGTGGCATGATGGTCTTCTTGTTGCTCAGCTGCGCGTTTTCGTAAGCTCTGCTTCGCGTGTCAGCGTACTGCAGGGCATACTCCGATCCTGATCGCAGATGCGAAACCGCCACACCAGCTGGGAGGGACTAGGATGCGACATACGTGGAGGCTATGTAGTTCACGAAGACCGTTGCGCTCTTATGTAGAGCTAGCAAGGCGTCCTTGTGTATCTGGGTGTTGGCTGGGAGTACCCCTTTCGCAAGGCGGGCGATCATCGACTTCGGTAGACTCAGGTCCTTCTCTATCGTTAGCATATTGCGCCTATACCAGCAGATCAGGCGTGACAGACCTCTACGCTAATGGAAATCCCGTCTTTATTCGCCTTCGCCGGCGTGACATCTGCGCCATCTTCCGCCGCGTTTGATACAACGGAGACGTTGCTCTTCCGAGGTGGCATGGTTGTGGTGAGTGGACCGATTCAACCCGGGTGGTCAGCGTCAATTATCGAGGAGGTTCAGACGATGTAGTGATGACGGCGGCGCGATTGGCATGATATTGGTAAAGTGACACGTGAGGCACGCGAAACATTCGGGTGCAGTCGCGCTTGAGGGTGACCCTGAAGGTCAACCCGACCGAACCCTTTCCTCACCTCCCACTTGCCATCTTCACCCACACATCCAACGACATCAGATATGCGCTCGCTCCATCCCAGTGATAATTGCCTGGCCAGCAGACTAACCAGAATTACCGCCATACCGGTGATGGGTAGAAAGACTCTGCCAGGCGGGACGGAGCCATGAACTTCCTACTTGGCGGCGAAGACGCGGCAACGACGAAGGCGCCTACTTGCACGATGACCGAGCCTGTCGGCCCCAGGGCACCGCACTGCAGTGGAGCGACGAGTGCCTCATACTTGATAACTACCTTATGCACTCGCTAGGCGTTGCATATCTGTAACGATATCCAATGTTCTGACCATACCGCCCGCGCAGCCTTCCAGCAGAGACAACGCAGTGGGATGATCAAGCATTATGGCACTCGTCCTCCCATCTGATCGTTTACCGTGTTTCTTGTATTAGAGTTCCGAGTGCTTACCCACGCTTTGCAGAACAGTGAGGACCTGTGTCCTCGTACTCATGCCCAGCAGTACAAGAACCGCGAACCTGTCTTCCGTTTCGTCCTACTGTTTGAGTCTCCGACACACTCAAGGGAACCTGCACGACACAGCAGCAAACATGTCCCTCCAACGCACAGAATCCGGACCGAAAACCTACGCCTTCTCAGGAGAAATCGCCGTCTCAAAACAAGAGCTCCTCGCTTTCAAAAAGCTCGACATGGATCTCCGCCTCGAAATCTGCCATCGAATGTGGGCTTCTACCCGGGCCTCAGCATACAACTCATACCTGGCCTCCTCGCGACCCTCGACAGTGGCTCTATCACGGTCATCTTCGGCTGACTCCTCCGCATCGAGCGTCTACTCCTGCGACATCTCTGGCGAGCCGCGGAAGATGGGTTGAATACAGTACCTCCTCGCAATTGCTACGTGCCAAGATCATCATTACATGCTATCGCACCAACCCAGAGGCTCATTATTCGTTCTGATGCGACGCCAATCATGACCGGAATTGTGCTCAACAGCTTGAGGATAGATGGCCGGCGCACGGGTCCCGAGAGAGCAAATGATCCCTAGTAGCGGGGCTGGGGTCATCGTATCAGTTGAAATAAGGACCCCAATCGTAAAAGCTTGTTCAGAGGAGGGGACTTGCTGGAGGTATTCATCTTTGACGACAGTACTGGGGTTGGTTATCCAGCGATCGGAGGGGAAGGCAAATTTTATGGATCAGTGGTGTTCAATAGCGAATCAGCGCATCGATAGTGATGCGCATCCCCAATCCATCTGAAGTCATGGAGGGAATCAAATAGCATCGAATTGGAATCTTGTGCAAACCTTCGTCGGCAGTTTTCACCAAACTCGCCCCAAACCCCTGTTGCTCAACACCATCGTGGCAGCCGGGAGACTCATGTCTATGCCTCAAGCAATCGCAACCGTCGCGAAGAACGTCTGGCCCCAGAACGTCTGCTCGACTGGCGCAGTACTGAGTAACACCGTGCCGAGTGTGAATGCCAGAAGCGCGAGAGTCGTGACCCAGGCAGCTGGGAGCCGGGAGATGCAACCCGGTCACGATGGCGGCGACGGCTCCGAAGAGGCCTTCGAGGACCATCATGGCGGTTGCGAGGAAGGGTGTGGAGCCCGTGTTGTGATTGCTGCGGAGGGGGAGGAAGGTTTGGAAGGTGTAGTAGATGTCCGAAGAGGAAAGGGAGCAGCAAGCTAACAACTTCATGGCAATCACGGTGAGTATCGTCTTTTGTTACATCGCTCCACATCATGCTGCCACTACTCTCAACCGGGCAGTATGGAGCAAGCCCGAGTTCACATCCTCCCTTGCCTTCTCGGTCCTTCCGAGCGCCAGGTTGTAGCCTAGGCGACGAAGGCTTGAGCGTATCTGCGGTTACACCACCAGGAGCGACTCCATGTCCGTGTGTGTGCCCACCCAAGGCAGCAGAACATATGTCGAGCTCTCTGTACACGGCGTAGAGATTCCGGCAAGTTGCGCGTGCTTCTTGATCCGACTCTCAGGTTCAGGTCGTCTCCCACGCGGCTCCATAGCATCCTCCCCCTAGGTTCATGTCTCCAGAAACCAACCCTCCACAAACCACACGGGCGTCCACTTCCCTCGTGTCCTCCCCTCTCACCGCCTCACCCCACTCCCTCCCAACCCAGGCACTCCACTATACCTCTCCTCCCTCTCCGTCTTGAACGTAATCTGCACCCAGAACTCCTTCGAATCCCCATCAAACCACGTCCAATACCGCTCCTCCCTCCGATCCACCTCCCTCGCCTGCAACTTGAAAGCGCACGTCTCGTACGGCTCGGCGGCAATCAGCAAGTACTGGTACGCCTTGTCCGGCGGGTCCTCCACTTTCTGCTCGTAGGCGCTCATGAAGCGCACGCGAGGGACGACGTTGACCGCGATTTCGGGGTACTGGAGTTGGAAGAGGAGGCCTTGGTGGCGCGTGATAGGGTCGCGGGTCTTTGTGATTTTGTAGCCGGGACGGCCGATTTTGACGACGTTCTTGCGGATCTGTATCGCGTTCGCGCCGGTGTAGCCTTCTTCCTGGTTTCTCCGTCCCAGCTGTGCATCTTTGGCTGCGCGTCGAGCGAGGTTGGTCTGGTGCTTGCGGCCTTGGGTGTGGGCGAGGTAGCTGCCGTCGTTCTGGTGGACGGTGAGGCAGAGGCGGCACTCGAAGCTGCCGACGTGGTTCTTGAAGAAGTAGGGGTCTTTGTCTAGGTCAATGGTCTCGAGGGCGAGTTTGCGCAGGCGCTCGCGGCGGTCGGCATTGGTGGCGGATTGGGAGGCGACACCACCGCCGCCGAATTTGGACCCGGCGCGATTTTGGTAGTCCATGGGGATGGTGTTGAGATGATGTGTAGGGTTACGAGAATGTGAAGGCGAGAACTGAATCGTGACCACCGAACGAACAGCTTCCTGACTCGCGCCCGCACGACCATTTGCCAGCCCTACGCGGAAGCTAAGGGGAGTTCAAAGACACGACAGGTGTAGTCCGCAGGTGACACCAGATTTGTACAACGCCAAATCGGACCTGGGACCGAATCCGCTCGTCTTAGGCCGCACCTGTCGATATGAGATGAGCTCTGTTCACCGGCTTGGCCAGCGCTTGTCACTAAAGGGCCAGTCACTGACGGTCCGATATGTTGGCCCTGTCGATGGCAAAGCCGGCGAATGGCTCGGTGTCGAGTGGGACGATGTTACCAGAGGCAAGCACAACGGTGTACACGATGGGAAGAAGTATTTCGATTGTACGCCTAGTCTAGTTACCCAATACCGGGATACATACTGAGCCATCTGCAAGGTCGCAGCAACTCCCCGGCAAGTGCTTCTTTCCTTCGCCCCAAGCAACCATGGGACGAGCACCGCACGTTCCTCGAAGCTTTACGGGAGAAGTATGTATCTCAGACCAGTGCCGCGGATCAAGAAGCTATCTACTTCTCCTCCAAGCAGGCAGAGGAAGTAGGCTTCGACAAGTTCGCTCGCCGTCAGGCGGAGCTGCGA